AAAAAAAAAAAAAAAAAAAAAAAAAGTTTTATAAAATTTGCAGTTTTATAAAAGTTTTATAAAACATGGAACATCCCTATGGTAGTACAGTAAAACCTTGGATTGTACGTAATTTGTTCTTGAGTGTTCTTCAAGACAATCAAACATTTCTAATAAATTTTAAAACTTAAAACAAGAGATGTCTTCATATGTGTAGTAGATGATGCTAAATGTCACATGATCACAAATGAACCAATGGGTCTCTCTCCCTCTCTGCAGTATTGTGGGTAATCTCTCCCAGTAGCAAGAAGTTATAGAGGAGATCTTATCATCAGAGGAGGTGAAAAAGGAGAAATCCTTCACTTCAAATGAGATTAGGGAGATGTCTAAAATATGGGAAAAAGGGTTAAGTTTTGTAGAAAAGCACAACCCAAATGAGGCTGTAGCCATGCAAGCAATGAATCTGTTTGATGACAATGCAGTGTCACACTTCTGTGAAATCCTCAGAAGGAGGAAAAAGTGAGTATCATTGGATAGGCTCCTTGTTAAAGTTATACACACAACAAAAAAATTCCATTGAGCCAATACATAGCAGTGATTCCATTAGTGATAATGAAAGTCATCCTATACATACAATAATGTTCCTCTTGTCTCCGTCACACCAGCCACAAAAGATTTCAAATATAAGTGCTGGTCAATTTATTTTTCTTTATATTTTGTATTTCCTTTATTATTTTGTATTATATTACAGTATTATAATACTTTTTATAGGAATATTTTTGGGTTGTGTAATGAATCATCTGAGTTTCTGTTATGTCTTATGGGGAAATTTACTTTGATATACAAGTACTTTGGATTGCAAGCATATTTTTGGAACAAATTATGTTCTCAAAACAAAGTTTTAGTGTACTCTACAGAATATGCTAACTACATGTCGTTTCCCCAACCCTGTCTAAATACAATAGATGTCAAAGAAAAAAAAGGACAACACTCAAGACTTTAGAACTAGAAGGAAAAGGAGAGTGAACACTGAAAAACTATATAGGTGGTACTCTGTGATCTAAGGCAAGTGAATTAGAACAAAAATGTTTTTGGGAATCATTGTACACCTGTGGCATTAAGAAGCTAGTGACTAAATGTTACCTAGCAGTGCCACCTGCTGTTATATTCCTTAAAAGCATTTTATTTTAAAAAGGGAATTTCTTACAACCACAGAATTTTAAAAAATTATACTGCTTTTCCTCCTTGATGAATTGAAGAACACTGCTTTGTGAAATGATACAGGAAAAAAAGGAAAATTGTTTAGGGTGTGACTTAAGGTACAAAAAATAACAAAGCAAGTAAAATATAATGGTAAAGTGAAATATATCATTTAAATTTTGATTTTTATTCCAACATGAAATATATTAAAAATAGAAACTAATAAGAAGTTACTCACTTGCTAATTTACATTCTCTGTCGACTAACTGGTTCTGGACTTCTTTTCGCTGTTCTTCTTTCTCTGTTAATTGGGCAATAGTTCTGAAAATGTAAAAGAAAAATCAATGAACCTTATTATTTGTGATTTTTTTTGTCCCCAACAATTAAGAGAAAAATCATTAAAACCATAATTATCTCTAAAATCTGACAATATTTTGTACTTAAAATAAGTGATAATTCTAATTTTACCAATAAAAACAATGTTGTGTATAGAAATAGATAATTCTGTTTTTTTAAAAACATCTCAATTGTGGAATCAGAGATTTTACTTTTCATTTTGTTGCTTGAGTGATTCATTCAACTTTTTCACTGTTTCAATTTGTTTATTCAGAGAATCACATGTGATCTGTAGGTCTTTATTCTTCTTTTCAGTAGTTTCATTTCTGAAAAGACAAGGAAAAAAGTTGATGTCTTGATTGTAGAAAATGTATGATGCAAAAAAGTAACAGTGTTCTTTTTTTGGGGAGCTAGAGTGTTACTACATAGCCCAGGCTGGGCTAGAACTCAAATCCTCCTCTGTGTTGCTAACTACCTCTTTTATGGTATTATCAGAATGTATGACATTTATACAAAAGAAGTTGAGAGTCAGAAAAGAATTAGTGTGTTCATTCCTGGTTCTAACCTCACAAAGAAACTTAATTTACCTCTGAAGAAGTTCCATGTAGGATTTTGTCAGTATTTCATGCTCTTCAGCCACAGACTGTAATTTCCTATTATGTTGAAAGAGATGTTCAATATCACTCTGGGCTCTTTCTGACTCAAGCTGTTGTGACTTCAGCAACACACTAAGCTCTTCATTTTTTCTTTCAACTTCTCTCAACATACCAGCAAGTGTCCGTGCCTTAAAAGAAAACAGCACGTGCACTTTTTCATTATCGCTTATATATAGTTATGCAACATATAACATCTTATTCAAGAAATGGTAGTTCCATAAGATTACACTGCCTTGCTATACTGCAGCCAGCTTAGCTTATGTAAGTGTTCTGTTTGCCCAAGAATGAACTTGCCTAACACATTTTTTTCAGAATATATCTAGGAAATGCATAAATGTAATATGAACATATCTAATATCTACTAGGTAAGCATCTAGTTATGGGTTATGGAAAATTCTTTAAGTTATACACATTTACCTAACTACACAGATATAGTATCCCTTATCCCAAATGGATGGGAATAGAAGTATTTTGAATTTCAGATTGTTCGGGCATTTGGAATATCTGCATATACACAATAAAGTGTCTTGCTGGTGAGACTCTAGTCTAATGCCAAAATTCATTTATGTTTTATATATACCTTATATACATATCATGAAGATAATTTTATACAGTGTTTTTAGAGGTTTGTTTTTTTTTTGTACTGGAGATTGAACTTGGGCCCTTGAGCTTGGAAGGCAGGCAGTGGAACTTTTTAGAGTTTTTTAGTAGTTTGTGGAACAAAACAGTTTCATGGCATGGAATTTCTCCCTTGTAGGATCATGTCAGTGCTCAAAAAACTCTGGACTTTGAATTTTGGATTTCAAGATTTTGGATTAGGGATGTTCAACTTGTATTATTAAAGATTTTTATTTAATATACTGTTTTGACAATATATGAACAAACTAATAAAGTGAACAAAATTGTAACATAAAAGTAAATTGAAATACTGTAAAAGGGTATAGTCTTCAGGGCTAGCCATTAACACTTCACCACTAAGTTTGCACACATCAGTTACCTCATTTCAGGTAAGAATAAAAAATAAGATCTTAACTACGTCACAACTGCTCAACCTAACATTTAAGCCAGAATAACCAAGGAACACCATTGTCATTTAATAAGTGACATGCAACTTTAGAGAAGCAGACAGGAGTCCACAAAAAAACAGGAGAAAGTACAAATGACATAAAAAAATTGTTCATGGAATTAATGATAGAAAACTTCCCAAACAGAGCAAAATAACTTCACATACAAATAAGTGAGGCATATAGGACTCCAACTAGTTGTGATTAAAAAAAAGTCTACACCTAGACATAAAACAGTCAAGATCCCATAGTTAGAGAAAAAGAAGCAAATTACATGTAAAGGAAAGCCAATCAGAAAAATACCAGACCTTTCAACACAAACCCTCAAGTCAAGGAAAGTCTGGAGTGAGGTATTTCAAGCTTTAAAAGAAAACAACCTCCAATTTAGGCTGATGTATTCTCCAAAACTACCTTTCAAAATTGATGGAGAAATAAAATGCTTTCACAACAAAGAATACCTGAGAAATTTCATGACCACCAAGCCAGCATTCCAAATAATTTTTTTAAATATCATAGAAAAAGACCATGAAAAAGACAACTCCATGAGGCCCCGCAGAGCAAATCCAATAGGAAAGAATTTAAAGGGAGAGAAAAATAAAAAAAAGAACCAACAACAGGAAAATAAAATGACAATAATAAGTCAATACGTATCAGTTATAACCATCAATGTCAATAGCCTCAATGCACCAATCAAAATAAAAAGACTGGCAGAATGGATTAAGAAGTAAAATCCAACAATATGTTGTATATAAGAAACACACCTACATGAAAAAGAAACTCAGACTGAAAGTAAAAGGATGGAAAACAGTTCTCCATGAGACAGGAACCCAGAAAAAAGCAGGGGTAGCTATCTTATTTGCAGACAAAGTAAATTCAAACCAAAACTAATTAAGAGAGACAAAGAAGGTCACCACATGCTTGTAAAGGGAAAAATCCAACAGGAAGAGATGACAATATAATCATAATAATCATAATATAATAATAAAAATCATATATACATACGAAACACTAATGCCCTCAACTATACAAAATAAATGTTAAAGGACACAAAACACCAAATAAGAACTAATACAATTGTAGTGGGGGAATTCAATACCCCATTGTCACAAATAGACAGATCATCTAGACTAAAAGTCAACAACGAAATACTAGAACTGAAGCAAGTGTTTAACAAATGGACCTAATAGATTACCCCACAAAACAGAATATATATTCTTACTGGCTGCACACGGATCATTCACAAAAACAGACCACAGGCTAGCTCTTGAACATGTTTAAGTAAATGTAAAGGAACTGAAGTTATCCCATGTATATTATCAGACCTTTGTGCAATTAAACTGAAGATCAATAGCGTAAGAAACCATAAGAACTTAATAAACACATGGAAACTGCATAACACTCTCCTGAACAACCGATGGGTTACAATAGTAATTAAAGAAGAAATTAGACAGATTTTAATAATTTAATGAAAATTCCAATACAACATATAGGAATCTATGGGATACAATGAAAGCAATTTTACCTGGGAAATTCACAGGAGTGAATGCCCACATTAGGAAAAAAGAGTGAGCTCAAATAAACAACCTAATGATGAATCTTAAGCTCCTAGAAAAAGAACAAGGGAAACCCAAAGTTCATACAAAGGAGGAAATTATAAAGATCAGAGTAGAAGTCAATGAAATAGAGACTAAGAGAATGAAAAAAATAAAATCGATAAATCAAAGAGTTGGTTTCTCAAAAGAATAAAATCAATAAACTTTTAGCCAAACATCAAAATATGGAAAAGGCTCAAATTCATGCAATTAGGAACAAAAATGATGAACTTACAACAGACCCAGCAGAAATCCAGAGGATCATCAATACCTACTTTGAGAACCTGTACTCTAATAAAACGGAAAACACAGAACAAATGGACAGATTTCCAGATACATATAAATTACCAAAGTTGAACAAAGAAGATATAAAAATTCTAAACACACCAATTACTATCAGTGAAATTAAAAATGTAATTAAAAATTTACCAAAAAGAAAAGCCCAAGTCCTGATAGCATCACTGCTGAATTCTGCAAAACTTTTAAAGAAGAATTATCACAACTACTCTTTAAACTTTTCAATGAAATTGAAAGGGAAACAATACTTCCAAATTTATTCCTAGAAGCAAATGTTACTTTCATTCCAAAACCAGGGAAAGACTCAACTAAAAAAGAGAAGTACAAGCCAGTCTCCCTAATGAACATAGATGCAAAAATCCTCAATAAAATACTGGCAAACAGAATACAGGGGGTCATCAAGAAGATCGTACAACCTGACCAAGTTGGATTTATCTCAGGGATTCAAGGATGGTTCAACATACATAAATCAATAATACACTGTATTAATAGATTCAAGGATAAAAACCATATGATCATCTCAATAGATGCAGAAAAAGCATTTGACAAAATTCAACACCCATTCGTGATAAAAACCCTGCAAAAAATTGGAATAGATGGTCTTTATCTCAACTTGATAAAGGCTATCTATGAAAAACCAACAGCCAACATCATACTAAATGGTCAAAAACTGAAAATCTTCACATTGAAATCAGGAACAACACAAGGATGTCCACTATCACCACTCCTGCTCAATGTAGTTCTGGAAACATTAGCCACAGAAATTAGAAAAGACAAAGAAATTAAAGCAATAAAGATAGGAAAGGAAGAAGTTAAGCTGTCATTATATGATATGATACTCTACATTGAAGACCCAAAGAACTCTGCCAAATGACTTCTAGACTTAATTGACAGATTCAGTAAAGCAGCTGGACACAAGGTAAACACTGAAAAATCAATAGCCTTCTTGTATACAAGTAACAGACTCACTGAAAGTGAAATTAGGGAAACAATCCCTTTCACAATAGCATCCAAAAACATGAAATATCTAGGAATCAATCTAACAAAGGAAACAAAAGACCTCTATATTGAGAACTACAACACTTTGAAAAAAGAGATCAAAGAGGATATAAGAAAATGGAAAGACATGCCTTATAAATGTGTAGGAAGAATCAATATAGTTAAAATGGCCATACTTCCAAAACTTCTATACAGATTCAATGCAATCCCTATTGAAATCCCAACAGTATATTTCACAAAACTAGAGAAAACAACTGAAAAATTTATTTGGAATCAGAAGAGACGTAGAATAGCAAAAGCAATTCTAGACAACAGAGATATAGCAGGGGTACCACAATCCCCAACTTGAAACTATACTACAAAGGCACTGTGATAAAAACAGCATGGTAATGACAAAGAAAAAGACCCAAGGATCAGTGGAACAGATTAGAAGATGCAGAAACAGCTCTTGACATACTCAGCTTCCTCAACTTTGACAAAGGAGCCACCCATCTTCACTGGAGGAAAGATAGCCTCTTTAATAAATGGTGTTGGAAAAATTGGATTTCTTCTTGTTGAAGATTAAAACTAGACCTGTATCTTTCACCATGCATCAAACTAAATCCAAATGGATTAAAGATCTAAATATTAAAACAGGGAGAATTAGGTAGAACTCTTGAAGACATTGGCATAGGAAAAGACTTTATTAACAAATCCTCAGTAGCATGGGAACTAGCAGAATCAATCAATTGAGATTTCATCTGTTTAAAAAGCTTCTGCACTGCCAGAGAAATCACCAGCAGAGCTAAGAGACAACCCAACATGTGGGGAAAAATTTTTTACCAGCTGCACCTCAGACAAAGGTCTACTATCTAGAATATAAAAAGAACTCAAAGAAATCAGACCCCCCCCAAATGTAAAGACCCACTTCAAAAATGGGCATTTGAAATGAACAGACGCTTCTGAGACAAAAAAGTAAAAGCAGAAAATAAACACATGAAAAAATGTTCAACAGTCACTGGTCATGGAGAGATGCAGATGAAAACAACACTGAGACTCCACCTCACCCCAGAAAGAAGGACCCCTATCAGGAAATCAACCAATAACAAAAGTTGGTGGGGTTGTGGGAACAAAGGAACCCTTCTCCATTGTTGGTGAGAGTGCAGACTGGTGCAACCACTGTGGAAATCTATACAGAAATACCTCAAACAACTAGGATTAGAAGTCCCATTTGACCCAGCTATTCCTCTGCTGGGTATCTTTCCAAAAGAATTAAAAGAATCATACCACAGCGATATATGCTCACTCATGTTTATAGCAGCACAGTTTATAATAGCTAAAATTTGGAAACAGCCCAATTGCCCATTAACTGAAGACTGGATGAATACGTGGTTATTTTGATAGGGAAAACTCTTATAAATAATAAAAACCTATAAAGTATTACAATATAAAATGGCTTTTGCTGTCTCTAACAGAAGTTTGTTTTGTTTAGCTCAAAACTAATAAGCACCGAAGGCACTAACTGCTGAATGAGGCATTTGTTCTTATCCTGAGATAATACAGCACATCAAGTTCTTGAGCTCCCAGAGAGACTGAAGACTGATCGTAAAAGTTTCAAGATAAAAAGGACCACTGCCAACATTTGCTCCTCTGACCCTGAACAGCCCCCTTCCTATGGACTAGAATAGATAACTAGGAGAATCTTAAAAGTAAACTCCCCAACTACAAAGAACTGTTATGTCTTGGTTGAAAAGATTAACTATTTTGTGACCGTGATTTGAACTGTGAGAATGAAATGGAACCACCCAAATGAAGTCTAGACTGTTAAACCCTATAAAAGGAGGAAATGTAACCAGTGTGTGTCGATCCAGGCATGGCTTATGTGAGATCGACCTTTATCCATAAGTAAATTTGTTATTTTATTGCCATTCTGCTGCCTCTCTGTTACAAAATCACTTACTGATTCCTTCCGTAACAATTTCATAAAATATATTTAGAACTAACTGGATGCACATTGAGGCCACACTCTTAAGTGAAATTAATAAGATGCATGAGCAAATACCGAATAGTTTCTCTGGTTTGAAAAACTAAAAGTGTTAACAAGGATCAAAATGTATAACTATTGTGTAATAGGAAGAAAATGGTCTAAAAGAGTGGAGGAAGTACAAAAAGTAGATGAAAGGTAAAAAGCAGAAAGAGAAAATATGTGAAAAGAAAAAACATGGCAACACTGTCTTTATTAACAGGGTAGGGTGGAGGGGGTGAAGGAAGGGCCTGGAATAGGGAAAAATAAGAACCAAGAAAAGTCAACATCCCAATCATGAATACAACTGTACTGTACCAATAAACTTAAAAAAAATCAGAGAAGCAGAAAAGTAATTATAAAAAGTGGGTTTTTCTATCTCTTTAGTGTTAAAAATATTATTTTTAAATGTCAGATGAAAAACCTAAGTCCTGTTTTTAGCACAGATTATAACATTAATATCAATTACTTAGTGTATTTTATGAGAAACAGTTCCAATATTGTATGTAAAACATTAAATTCTCTAATAAAACTCAAGATATATCCAAAACACATAGAATATCAGAATGCTCTATGATAAGTAACAGGATTAAATTATTTTAACATTATTTTCTTTCCTGGAATCTCTGCAAAGTTCAACATACTAGCTAAGATAAATTACACCATGTTAAAGTAAGAAAAAAGAAAGGTTATAATTTCTTTATATTTTTAGAGTACTTTTGTTCTGAAAGATTCTAAAGCTATTTTATTTGCCAATGATTTACTGCTTCTTCCAAAAGCCAGACTTTATTATATAAATAATTACAAATTAAGTCAACTTTTATAGACTTCCATTTGGACATGCTATAAATTTCATATTACTGAAGCAAACTCTCACACATAAGGTATACATCATGTGTACATATGTACATAGCACAAAGACAACCTTACCAAGCACCTACCACATATAAAGGGCATTCAAGGGCCTGGAGGTAAAGAAATAGCCTATCATATCATAAGCAAAGGTAATATGATCTTCATGTGGTATATGAAATATTATAAAGAAATAAGCAAGGGGTAGATACACAGACAAAAATTACATGAGTAGCTTCTAGAAAACGGTGGTATTTAAAATTAAATCAGAAGAGTATAAAAAATCAGGCAAAGAAAAAGAGGAAAAGATGTCTCAGACATAGAATAGAAAATGCAAAGACAAGGAAACACAAAGAGTATAGCAAGTTCCAGAAAATGCAAAGTAGTCTAACATAGTTGGTTACAATGAATGTCCACAAATGGTATATGTGGGTTGAGAAGTAGTCAGAATCTGTGTGTCACATGAGAATTTTAACTATATTTTGAAAGCAATGGTGGCTATTATGAAGGATATGAAGCACAAGAGGGAGGGAAAGAATCAGATTATCACCTCAGTGATCCCTAGGGGAAAGGAGTAAGTGAGAGCAGAACCAAATACTTCTGTTTGGCAGAAGTGTCGAGGGTTCTGAGAAGAGGGCACTACTCTAAAGATAGGAAGACTAATAAGAGGCTCTGTGGATTCATATGATAAAGGAAAAAACGTGACCTATACCAAATAGTGGTAAGAACAGAGACAGGAGGGAAAAGAATAATATCTAGAGGTAGTATCAAGTGGACTTGATGTATAATTCCAAAGGTGAGCTATATGATTTCTATATTTCTTATCTGGAAAACTATGAATTATAGAAGAGGGAATACTTAATAAGTTTTTTAAAAGGTAAGAGTAACTCATCACTGTAGGTTATGCTGAGTTTGAAGTACATGTATATAGGAGAAATTTAGTGCTTCGTTATTTTTTTTTGATCTGTGCTTGACATAAAATTGAAAACATTGTAAGTTTAGTAATGGTTAAAACCATAAAACATATAAATAAATAAAAAGGGTTTAAGAGCATAATCCTAGTGACCTCCAACACCGAAGCATAGACCATTAGTGATACAGAAAAACACCAATTAAGTAGAAAAAAAAATCAGACGATAATGAATGATGTACCAAAATTAAAGACAGTTTCAAAATGATTGAGTAGATGTGTCAAATGTTTAGGACAAATTAGTTCAATTAGAACAATAAGTATATAAATAATATTTTCTTTATGTTTTATTTCATCTATTAAATTTTCTAATCATTAGAGGTCTTCTACTCTACCTACCTCTGTCTCAGCTTGAGTCCTTTGACAGCGATATTGAGCAATCAGTCTATCAGCCTGTGCAAGAGCTAGAGCTTTTGCTTCCAGGAGATCTTGTAACCTGCTTTCTTTAGACTACAAGAAAATATACAATTAATTTTCATAATTTTAGGAAAACAATCAAAAGCTTATCACATGTACTTAAACATATACTTACAGCTAATGTAGACAATTTCATCTCATACACATCCATTATGTCAGATATTCTCCCATCGTTAATCTGGTCCTTTAGCTAGGTTTTAATGGAGAAAAAAGTCAGTAAATTGTAGCACTTAAAAACTGATGAAATTTGCAACTAAATTATTAAAACAAATAATGAGTAACAGAGGAAAAACTCTGCTTCATCAAGTAAGTCACAATATTTTCTTAATCTAGCCAATGCAGAAAACATCTAAGTTTCAGTATACTGAAGATGGCAACTTAAAAAAGTACTTCTTAAACTGGGTGGCTGGGAAGGGGATTAATAAAAGAATGATAACCATGTTAAAAATATTTGAATCTTATGACTGCATTTTCTTCCTTTCTTTCCAAATTTTTCAGAATACTGTTACTTTTTCTACCAAAAGATTAAAAATTCAGAGATGACATTTGCATTTAAGTTGTTTAAATAAACTGATTATAATCAGTCCCAACAGTTGGTTGGTAGGTACTAGGTATAATTCTAATTGCTATTTATCACTTACCATAACCCCAGACTGAAGTTTTTCTATTAACTCCTCAATGTTCAATCCAGGAACATTATCTTTTGATGGGGGAGGAGTTAAACACTTTACTGTTGTTGAAGAACTGTGATTTAATAATTGCAAAGGCAGTCTACTGGGCATATGTTCTGTTTCCTGTTGTCTATATGCATTGTTTGCTGCTATACTTTCTCCAAGTCTGAATGAAAATAAAAAAAAACAAAACAAAATGCATTCAAACAGAGCAAAAGGCAAAGTTAGGAACCCTGACAATGTGACTTTTTACTTTTTTGTAACAGAAATCTTCAAATAGCATTAAAATAATCTTGGAGATCATGATGAAACAGGTTTTCCAGGAAATATCCTGAACTTTTCAGAGGATTCTGTTTTCTACTTACAGGTCTTGGCAACTGCAATTTCATTTCTGGTTTGGAGGCACCATGGAACTAGTTTGAGAGTGGCTTATATGTAGTAAGTGTGAAGTTATTAGAACTGCTCAAAGCAACTTTCTTATTAATATGCCTTCTTAGCATGGGTGGTGAAATCATCTGGTCTTTATTTCCTTCCTAAAACTCATCTTCTCTTTATGTTCTCACCTCTCTTACTCCTATTCTACCCTTTCGAAAGCTCACCTTATTTTTGCCTCAGGACCTTTGAGCTTTTTTTTTTTTTTTTTTTTCAATCTGGAATCAAATCTATACAGAACTAGTTTGTTCTCATCACTGCGTCTTAGTTCAAATCCATCTCCTCAGAGAGGTGCTCACTAATGCCGTATATGATGCTAATATTAATCATTTCTCCTCTTAGTGAAAAGCACAAAATGAAGCTTTAACTCATCTCTTGACTATAGTGCAAATCTAATGCCAGCATGCACTCAGTCTCATTTACTGCTATCGACAAAATGCCTAGTAGAGGGCTACATATAGTCATAGTTGGATCTTAATAAATGTTTCTTAAATTTGTAAATAAAACAATCTAGCAAAAAATACCTATCCATTCATCCAATAAATTCACCATATTAAACTGCCTAAAATAATGTCAAATAAGGATACTGTGATAAGTAAAAATGGATCCTTGTGAAAATTATTTACAAGACAGGGAATGTCAAGATACAATGAAAATGTGGGATAGCCTCACACACAGAGGCAGAACACACAATGCTCAAGTACAGTGTAGTTGAAGTTTTCCTGCTGAAACTTCTGAGTTCAGAAGAACACAACTGAAGTAAGCAAGCCACCAAGAAAGGAGCATCTTTGCTCACAGATGACCACTGCTAACTTGTAATATAAGCCACTTCCTATCTGTCTTAAGATTCATTAAAAAGTGAAGGGAATTCTGATGTGCTTTTTAGGGCTTAAATGACATAGTTCTTTAATTCTTAAGTTATAACACCTAAATTATTAGTTCTGAAAAATGAGATTGTTAGTTAATATAGTTTATAAAAATATTTCTAATATATTTTAGTTATATATTTATAGCACAGGATAGCAAATTTGTCTCTGCTACAACTACTCAATCCTGCTGTTAGAGTAAAAGCAGCTATAGAAAACACAAATGATGAAAACAAATGGTGTGGCCTTGTTCTAATAAAACTATTTACCAAAACGTGTATTTGTGCACTCCCACTTTTCAATCTCTGGCATGTAGGGAATGTTACACCTATTTTACCGATTGTTTTAAATTACCCAAACCACTTCAGAAACTCATTTACAAAATAAGCCATTTGAAAAATTTTAAATGTACTAAAGTAGAACCCTACTAGACAATGGTAACTTTATATAAAGCGCCCACCAATTTTGAATTTTTTTCAAAATTAAAATTTTGGAATTTCTTTCAAAATTCAAATTTTGGAATTTCTTTCAAAATTTTTTCAAATATTATTGTATTTACTTATCCACCACCTACAGTATTTGATTTTCTGAGGTAAAGCAAACAAGTTTACCTTAAGAACCTGTCTTAGTTACTTTTCTGTCACTAGGACAAAATATCCAACACTTACAACTTAAAGAACAGGTTTACTTTGGTTCAATTTTTAGTAGTTTCAGTCCATCTTCAGATGGCTCTAAGGCAGAAAGGGCATGGTGGAAGGGCCTGGGCAGAGGACAGCTGTCCAATCCATTAAGCCAGGAAAGAGACAGAGAAGGGAGGAGCTAAGGAGGAAGGTACAGCTTTTCAAATCATACCCCCAGTGAACCACCTCTTCTGAACAGGCCCACTTCCTAGCAGCACATTTAGCTATGGATCGATTCATTCGTGGATTAACCCACTGATGAGTATACTACACACAGTGATTCTTCCACACACATGAGAATTTGGGCTGACATTTTAGATCCAAATCATAACAGAACTCTTCCAGTCCCTTATTCTAACTAATTTTCAGTCATGTGGTTTTCATAGTTGTCTCTTTGGCTAATGATCCAGAACAGTGGTGTTTAGACTTTTCACTTAAAATAATCAGGGAAGAAAAGCTCTTTCCATGAGGGAAATGAACTGGTAGGATGTAAACTTACTAAGAGTATCCAGAGCACTTTACATCAAAAGAAAGTGGTAAGAGATAAAAATAGTGCCTGAATAACACACTTAAACCACCCAGAGCTAACCTTTCCCCAAGTGAGCAAACATCTACCTTTTTTACCTATAGAAATAAAATTTTATTTAAGTCATTTGAAAGAACAATACAATGAAATTTCCAGCTGATTCATTTACTAATATATATATATATATACACACACACACACACACACACACACATACATACTGAGGATTACTGAAGAAATATATATAGCAGGGCAGTCAAACAAACATTACAACTGACTACTACTCACACTAAAGCTGGAAAATCTGGCAGTGGAGCAGCTTCCAATAATATTCCCAGTCCAGATTGTACTTGTTCTCTGTTATCTGATGTTAAAGCAAAAGCCAAAGGAGTAATCAAACGTGGATCCTAAGCAAATCAGAAGCCAGAAAATAAGAGACAAAAGAATAAACAATGTCAGATTAAAAAAAAAAAAAAACCAACAACAATAAAAAATGTCAGATCTTTAGAATAAGGGTAGCAAGCTCTCAAATGTTTGTATCACTTAATATCTGAATATATCTATTAGACTTTCCCTTGATAGAGCTACTTACACAGTCATGCAGTCAATGTGAATATTAGCTTAAAAATTTGGTGAAAAGGTGAAAATTTTAAATGTTTTAATTGTCTAGGAAAAGTATACTTTAAATAAACTAAGAGTATCATTCACAACTGACTGATGTTTAGAATGCTTTTATTTTTCCTCATTACCAAATTTATTTCCAAATAAAAATGGCTAATATTTTCTAAATTAAAGTAACAAAATATAAAAACACAAATTAACTCAAACCAGAAAATTTAAATTTAATGATTAGTTATATAAAGCCCTTCATGTAATATTTTACATTAATACTATAAGCTCCAAATCATTTATTATGAAAGTCTAAGAATTGACAAAACATTTTGATTTGTCTTTTAAAAAGTTACTAAAAATATTATTATTAATAATCATTTATAATTAAAATATTAACCACCTTGTAGGTAACTCAAGAATAATTCAATGCTACAGTACTATAAGACCAGGTCTTTATCTCTATAACTCTCTATAGAAACCCTTCCTAACTCCTAGAATTATTTCTAATTTTCCATGAAAAAAACGGAAGTACAAAGAGATGTAATAACTGCTCAAACCTGTACTAACATGTAGTACAATCATTCAACTCAGTTTCTTTTGCTATAAATATTAAAATAGATAACAATATTAAAATATTGTTAAATCCTGCACTAAACCTCAGAAGATGAGATTAAACCAGAATGGAGTCATTTGGCTGTCATGTAACCCTCTAAACTTTGAATTGATGGAGTATTTCCACAAACAAGCAAACAAAAACAGACAGAAGCAGCACAAAAACAAAGTATGGTCTATTTTAACTTTATAAGAGAAATAACTGAAAAAACTATTTCCTTTTGCTCCCTGTTTTGCCTTTCTTCTGTCCTTTCTATAAAGCCAATCTCCTTCTGCTCAAAGAACAATCATTCTATTTGACAAGAATAAGATTGTGCCCAATATAAATAAAAATCAGTTAGATCTCCAAACTATTTTGACTTTTGATAACATCCAGAGCTTTTAACCAGTGTTAACACTGAAATTTGTAAATTATCTATTTTTGTAATACTGTACCTCCTCTAATTTATTGTCACTCACAGTCAAGTCCTTTTCTTCAAAATGTTTCCTATTCCTATTTGATACTACCTCATCACCAACAAAAACCGAAATATCACTCTTCTCTGCAGGCCCACAAAAACAAAAGAAACCCATAAGTATGACACAGAAAGGCTGAGAACACATTATTATTAAATATTATGTGCATAAGAATGAGGACTCAGCATTCAGCTGCTGTGAAACTATGAAATAATGGTACAATGAGACTATCACAACTACCAAAGACAATGAACAATTTTAAACTGTCTTCTAATGACCAAATCTAAAAGAAAGATTTAGACTGAAACAAATAGTTACTAGAAATAACTTGCATATGAATAAATCCAAAATTTGAAAAGCGTAGACTCACCTGAAGGATTTTGTAGAAACTAACTTCCATACCAGGAACCAACTGTTTAAGTTTGTTCATTAAATCAAGAGTTTTCAAAATTACATCAGCAGCAAGTTTGCTTTAAAAATAAGTCATATTTAAATTAGATAACTAAAAAACTCCTTACAGCTTATTTCTGTCCATAATTCTAAAGAAAATAAAAAATATCTCTGCTTTTAAATCTCAAGTAGATAAAGTACTTTCTTTCCTTTTGTTTTGTTTTTTGAGATAGGGCCTCATTATGTAGTTGAGACTGACCTGGAGCTCACTATGAAGCCCAGGCTGGTCTCGAACTCACAGCATTCCTCCTGTCTCAGTCTCCCAAGTGCTGGGATTACAGTGTGAGCCACCATGCCTGGCTGATAAAGTACCATTTCTTCTGAGAAGTAAAAATATCAGTGATCAACACTAGAGAACAAAGTGACATTAACAGTATGGGTTTACTCAGTGATTCATTTCCTACTATCAAATATCAACATGCTTAAAAAGTAAAGTTAATATTTATTCTTGAAAAACAATTACTGAAAATTATGTCACTCATGGAAATAGGAACAAATCAGTGTGTCTAGCATTTATAGCAGGTCTTCAATAAATATTCATTAGATGGAATAAGTTCATGGGGGGAAGGGAATAAAAAATGTCTTATTACTATCTACTTTTAAACTGTTAATTCCTCACATAAGAGTTGTCTGTCATTAAGAAACTTCAGTAGTGATTCATTTTCTTGAAATAAACCATTCCTGTTTTTTCATGCTTTTCATTTAAAAAATTTTAAATGAAAATTTTTTTTAAAAATGTCACTAAGTTCCAAAAAAGAAATGAGGACTTTTAGATAAATCTCACATACATATACACAATACCAAACACACAACATACATACCACAAAACCCTAAGCAATGGACACAAATCATAGATGCCAATAACTTTTCTACAAGTATGCAGTGTATAATTTGAAAGAACTTTTAAATTTTTAAAAATAATTTCACTATGGAAATATTTTAATTCTCTACTATACCTTAAATTAAAAGCACACATTAAAGAATGACTCATATTTTCTGCCTTCAACTATTTTGCAGTTTGCATTTCATATACTCACCATAATTCAGAATCTGCTACCTTAGTTCCAAACCCTAGATCAATCTTGCCATATGTAAACTGTTGCTCTACTAGAGTGGTACATTTGATAGTAGTCAGAATTTTGGCAACGTGCATTTTCAGAGTATCATCTCCACACAAAGATAAGTTTTGTTAAGAAAAAAAGAATTCTCACATCACATAAATTATAATTGTAATATGGTATAACTGCTCTTATATTTGTTCAACGATAAGAACTCAAAGTATTAAAGTGATGCAATATTTTTGACTTAAGAGGTAAAACAGATTTCTCTGATGCTTCTCCATAGAATGTTCTTTTTTTTTTTTTGGTACCTGGGATTGAACTCAGGACCTTATGTTTGCGAGGCAGGAGGTAGGACATTGAGCTAAATCCCTAGCCCAAATGTTCATTGTTTTGTTGGTAACAATCACATTTCAGTAATATTTGTGGAACTAAGGAAAGTTATTTTCGCATACTGAGTGCATTATGAATTATTATTATCCAAGTTATGATACCGTGCAATTAGAGAAGGTTTGACTATACTAATCATAAATATCATATAAATCAAGGAAAGTAATCATAAGTCTCTACAGCAGTGGTTTTCAACTTTGGCTGTACATCAGAATCACCGGGATGAATAAATCACAAATAAAAAAGATAACACACAAATACCCTCCACTAATCTGAAGTTTTCAAATTATTCCATTTGCATGAGAATCTATGGAAAACTTCTACTTCTACATTTTTTTTAGTTGTTCCTGGGTGATTTGAATACTAAGCCAAGATTGAGAATTAATGCTGTAATTTAAAGGAGGAAGAAAATTAAGGAGTGGCAGCTCAGAAAAGAGGTGGAATTTGCTCTAGGGCAGAACAAAATTGGAGATATTTTTGATCCTGAGATACAGTGAAATTTATCAGGTAAATTTAAAAGATTTACTTGAGAGGGGATAAGGACTCAGATGACAAATAATTAAAAAATTAGAACTTCAGACTTCCTTTCCTTTCACTCCTTCCTACCTTCTTTATTTTGAGCCAGGGTCTCACTATGTAATTCAGGCTGGCCTGGAACTCACTATATAGCCCAGGCTGGCCTCAAACTTGTTGCAATTCTCTTGCCTCAGCCTCCTGGGTGCTGAGATTACAGGTGTACACCACCACAACTGGCTTTTTATTTTTAAAAGACTTTTAAAAAAGTCAGAACTAGTGGTATCTCAGTACTTGTTGGAAGGTGCTAGGAGTAACACCCAAAAACATTTGATTTGTAGGAAAATGGATATATCTTGAGACCATGTTAAGTGAAATAAATCAGACAGATAAGATAAAATATCTCATGGTCACTTTTATATGAGAAACTCAATGGATAAATAATTAAAGAGCAAAATAAAAAAAGAATCAGAAAGATCTTTCACAAATGAGAAGGGGATGAAGAGGTGGAGAGAGGGGGAAGAGAGGGAAGGGGACATTAAAAGAATTAAGATGCATTATGTACATATACCAACTCTCCATGATAAGTGTAATTGATATGTTTGCAAAGAAATACTAAGAAAAGTAAAAATTTGGAAGAAAAAAAAATACTAGAACCTAAAATAAAAAAACTGGGCTACAGTCATGACAACTTTATCAGTATTTCCCTACCCTTGGACCTATTCCACTGAAAACTGGCAAGACTAATCATCCAAGGGCAGCAATCAGCATCAAAAGCAGAAGTGAGTGATTAGTAGTAGGAATCATGATAGAATATACCTCCACATCTCAAAATGTGATAAAAATGTTCAAATCAAGTTTAAAAATATTTCTTAAAATGTACTTAGTTTAAAAGTTTTACACAGGGCAAAAAGTCTGGATAATTTTTTAGAGACTCTTCTGTAAATTTGTTCAAATTCTGACTAGATATGAGTATGAGAAGTGACAAAAATACAAATACAGACAAAATAGTGTAAATCTAATACCCAGAAAAAGTTCACAGCTTCCATGTTTATGACAGTAAAGGATATTTAGTAAAACTTCAATGGCTTTGACCATCCTTTCACATTTTTTTCTTATTAAGGCCTCATTCAAATTCTGTTCTGTAAACTGAAGTTGATCAACGATTGTAGGCAGCAAAAGGGTCACAAATCGGTCAGCTGAGGAACAGTTAGACGTATCTATGGCATCCTGGATCAGTTATTAGAAGAGAAATACTTTAAGACAATGAGTGAATAAAAATAAAGGCAGATTGCTAGGTCCAGACAGCAAAAAACTACAAACTAATGTTGATTTTTCTCTATTGTCTGTCACATTCCACTTCTTTCACCATGAAACCAGTATTACATCTTAACCCACTCAATTACTAATAAACACAGTGAACAACACCTACTGACATAAAGAGATAGAATATTGTTATTCCAAGTATGGTCAAACAACAACAAAGCATAAAAATCTTGTCAATGTCTTTTCTTCTGTTTTTTTTTTTTTGGTACAGGGGATTGAACTTGCAGGTCACCAAACCACTGAGCTAAATCCCCGGCCCATCAATGTCTTTTCTTATCACACAGAAATAAGTAAGCTATTCAGTGAAAAAAAAAAAAGCACATACACAACACACACAGGAAAAAAACTCACTAACTGAATGGCAGGGAATCTAGTGAGACGATTAAGAATACAGGAATTTTTCTAAAGCATATGAAAAATTAAAAGTTTACTATAAATATTTTTGAAAAAATTTCTTAATCAACAATCATAAAAGTCAATTTGTATATCATTCTCTTACCTCGAATATTTCCTTGAACAACTCCAATGCTAAAAGAGAACAGTTTTCTGATTCATCCAAAGGCAGGCTTAACCAACGAAGTAGAGCCACAGCAGGCTCTAGGCACTTAGAACCGTTTCCCAAAACAGTGTTGCCTGATGAAGACTGTTCAAACATCATCTGAGTGATCACATGGCGCAGCTGAGTCACTGAACAGAAGGCAAGAAGTAATTCTAAAACCTGTGTGATATAAAGTCTTCATTAAATATCAGTTTCACTAAACTTTAACATGTAAACATATGAAACTAAAAATGCCATACATTTGTAAAAAAAAATCCTAAAACAAAAATTAAAAATAATCTCTTCACTTTTTTAAAAACTGAGTTTTCAAATAATAAAAAAAATTGTTTATAGTGCTTGCTCCTGATAAGCAGGACTATAAGAACCAAAACAGGAAAGACAACTTCAACTAATTTTATAATTTTATAGTATGTACTTAAGACTTTTCTTAAACACAAATGTTTTATTTTTTTTAAATGACAAAAAAGCTTAAAACTACAATTTGTAAATATTCAGAGATTAGTGCATTTAGATTTTTCTGAACACCGTAGTTTTAACATTTAAAACAAGATGCTATGTTTTTACATACCTTTGAAGAAGAATCAGGGTCTTTCCCATTAAGAAGACCTAATACTTGATTAAGACATGAAGAAAAGTGCTCATACCTAGGTTTAAAGGTATACATCAAAAGATAATTATAAAATTGATACATTAAAAGAATCTACAAGAAAAATATTTTATATATTCATTTGAGCTTCTAATATGGAACACAATTTTTGTGAAGTTTACATGCTCTTTAAGTTACATAATTACATCCCTATAAACCCATCTTGCATTGAAAACACTGTAAATCAAAAGGTAAATACAAGGGCTGGGGATTTAGCTCAGTGGTTCCGCCACATGCCTCACAAGCACTAAGTCCCAAGTACAATCTCAGGTACCAAAAACAAAGAAAGAAACAAACAAGTAAATACAAACTGATAACACCAAATAGCACAGTTTAGCAACATAGCATACTATAAAGCAAGAGGTATTTACACTTGCGATGAAGTAGCTGAGCTGCAGCTCACAGCCACTGCATACCATTACAAGAGAGTATTACACAATACATTGCTAGTTTAGGATAAGATCTAAATTCAAAATCGGAAGCACAGTTGCTAACTGAATAAATATAGCTTCTACACTACGTTAAAGTTGAAAAATCATTAAGTTATACATTGGGGAACACCTCTGGTTAAAACCTAGGCTATATCTTAGTACTAGCATCCACATGAATTGGCCCTTTTGTTTACTGAGACACAGTAACTCATGCGGCACTAAATAAATCACTGAAAGTTTCAGTGACTCAACTGCCTTTTGTTTTAAAAGATTGTGTTCATTTAGTAAAAACTGAAACGACAAAGGAAGACATCAATATATTATACAACTACTTATTTAAATAGTACCCAAATTTGCCAAACATTAAATGAGGCTCTGCAAACATGGAAATCAGAGGTAGGCACCATATTACACAATTCTAAGAGCTACTACTGAAATTACGTTCTATGTAATTAGTGAATTCTAGATTTGGAGAATGATAATGTCAGAGAGTTTAAGGATGGAGGCAGAAAAATACAAAATGATAATAAAAGATAATGCAAAAAATAAAAGAAAAACACATGGTTGAAGGATAACTTGAAAGTTGAACATATAAGGTAGAAATTCAGTTGAATGCGGGGCACTGAAGGGAAGAAGAAACTGATGATAGGACAGAAGGAGACATTGCACACATGAAACACAGCAAAAAGTGGCATAAAAACAAATACATTTCCTCAGGGACATAGACATGATGGTGACTCAATCAGTTGGGATTATATTTTGGTTTTTTAGGTTTATAAAACAAAGAAACATAGTCATCTTCCACATGAAACACAGCCAAAAGAAAGCAACAAATACATGAGAGCCGTTGTAGGAAATGGGAAAGGAACCTGGCTAGGAAGGTGACCCAGAATAAACTGTGCTGGTTTAACAAACTTTAATTAGGAACTCAGACATTAAATTAGACTTTGAAGTAGATTCAGAATTTAGGTTCTGCTAAATGTTACAGGGGAAAAAAAAATCAGAAGACTTGCCAGAATTGATTCTTGGGTTCAAGTCTGGAAAGGGAAAAAATTAATAATGGAACAAATTTACAGAAGTGGTAATTAAGCAATCTCTTATTCGTGCTAAACCAGATCATTTTTCTGTCTTCCTAGAGTTTCCAGAAGAATTTCAAAATTTCAAGTTTTTTAGTTTACAACAAAGCTGTTAAATAAGCACTGTCTAAGTCACAATGCACCCATGGGTACTGGGAGATTCTTAAAACAGATAAAAAAGGGGCAAATAAAGTGAGGAAACCTCTGGAAGAAAAAAGTACTCTCTCCTCTACAGAAGTGTAAGAGAAGAAAAAAATAAATGCTATTGTGAATACTTCTTGGTTTTATAAAATATCAGTTACGCATATATGGTTGTCAATTTTATCTAGTTCTTAGTTTTATATTTTTTTAACATCTTAATTCTGATTCTTAAAGATCAGAAAGTGTCTTAATATCCTGCTGCTAACTCCCACCTCCTCAGTGTCTGACTAGAACAGGAGCACACTACATATTTTATTTGTAAATAATGAATTAATTTAACTATTTATAGCAATTTCAATAATGTATTAATTTAGGACTGTAGTGAAGTTTAGGCACTGGGAAAATTAAACTTCAGATGTTGAGTTCTTTGAAAAATTGCTACCTCATCTCAAAATTTAAATGATCACATGAAACACTGATCTAGTAGAGACATAAATGTTTTTCTGTTGTACTGTATGATACAAAAGAGGCATGTACCAAAGGAATTATTTTAAGAAAAAATTAAAAATTTAGGGACATAGTGACATGAACATTCCTATAATATACTCTTTCAAGTAATCATAATGTTCAATATTTAAAATTGGTTTCAAAACAGATTAGTCAAGATGTCTATATTGTTTTGAGACAGGGTCTTACTATGTTGCCCAGGCTGGACTGTGTGCCCTGGCTGGCTTAAATTCACAACCCTTCCAACTCATTCTCCCAAGTAGCAGAGATTTCATGAGTGTATTACTATACCTACTCAAGATATCTATATTTCAGAGACTGACACAATGCTAGTGATGTCAGTCACAAATAAATACACACATACCCTTTCATACCTCTATATTTCAGTTCAGGAAAGAAAAAAATGAGAGTAAATAATATTTCAATTCAATCTACTGTGAAACTGTAGAATCCTGAGGCAGTTTTATTTATCAAAAATGAACTGGTTTATTAAAAAAGTCCTTAAATTTATTAAAGTGAGACATACCTGGTAAGATAGTCAGCAATTTTAGGATTCTTAAGGAGATCCATCAGCAAGTCAACTGAATACTTTCGTGTTAGGGTACCATCACCATTTACGAGAATATTAAATATTAGTTGAAAAGTCTGATGAATGTTTCTTGCATGGAATAGCTTGAAACAAATTAGAAAAGGTGTATTACATGCACACAAAAATTGACACAAGCCTAAAATGTGCAAAAAGCCTGAATGTTTAAATAATCCAACTATAAACTTCAAAATTAACTTTATAAATAAGAGAAATAAGTCATAACTTACCTTTTCTCCCACCTCTTCATTTAATGTCAAACTGGACAGTATTGAAAGTGCAAACACAACCACAGTTAAACTACTATGGGCTAGGAAGGCTATAAGAGTTCGATAAAAGCTTTTCACACTACTCTGAGGAAGAAAAAAGTTTAAAAATGAATTAGAATAAAAATTATGAGTTATAAAACATAAATTTCAGTATAAAAGCTATGTTACAGAATGGACAAACTTATTTAATATCATTATATGCACTTTTAAGAAATGATTGTGATCTTTAAGAGATAAAGAACAATCTAAAGAAATAATTTAAAACAGAGATAAATATAAAGTGAAAGATATGTTATAAACAAAGAGCTAGAGAAAAAAATTTGGTAAAGGTGCCCAAATGGGGGAGAAATGAATTTTAGCAGGTTTTCTCATTTTAGAATAAATAATTCACAGATGCTAAATCTAGGTGTCAATTTTAAAGGTTCAAAGGGGATACATGGAAGGAAAAAGAGCTACCTTAAACACTGCAAGAAAATCTGTTTAGCATTTAAAAAGAATTATGGTGAAAGTAAAGAAAATATTTAGCAAATTTCAGAATTTGCCACACATTATACATTTTGAGGGAGCAGTTAGCTTTATAACATTTATTGATTATAATTTGGAATCAAGAGACTATTCAAAGGGTAAGTACTTCCATACACAGCTAATAGTATAGATAGGTACTATCTTAGTAAAAAGCAGTTTCTCTATAGGAAATTATAAGTAAATGGTTATTATATCTAAGTGTTTTCTTCACTTGATCTTAGCCAAAAGGCAGAGAAGCGACTGTTTTCTTAATATGGGCATTTTTTTCAATTCAGAAATTAAAAATACATGCACATACACAAACTTTACTATAAAACTTTTTAAATACTTCCATGCTCAACATAAGCTCTCCCTCCAAAGTGAGCCTCAGAAATAGTAATTAAAATCAAAATAGATAATTCTGAATATTGCACAACAGAGGAATTATCCCAAAGCAATTTAAACAATAAGTGCATTCTTCATTTAATATATTTCTATAAGTAATTAAGTTCACTTAGGTGCCTTCATTTACATCAAGAACTAGTAGCTGACAGTAGACACTTACAATCTTCCTGGAAAAGTTGCCATTAATACTATGGAAACACAACTCTAAAGTAAATGGTACTGTCAGTGATATGCTTGCTTTCTACTAACACAGAAGAAATCACCAAGTATTGAGTTACTCAATGTGACAAAGTGGTGCTATGGGAAAAAAAAAAACTTGCAGGAGTCAATATTTTCATTATTTTTTAACTTACAGCCTTCCATCTAAAATAAATGAAAGTTGGAATGCGTCAAATTATTCACAGATTAATTTGACTCTATTAGTTTTCATGTATCAGCTGGATGGTTCTAAGTCAAATGCTTTTCAAAAAAAAATACAGGTAAAATTTCTCTAAGCACAGAAGATACCACAAAACAAAGCCTCATTAGAAATAATAAACTTCTTACCAAAGTCTTTATATGTGTTTGAACAGAAAGATTTTGCCGACAAAGATTTGCCAATAATCCTAGACAAGGCATTGTTAACTCATCTTCGGAAGACTGACTGTTGTTTTATGTCACATCAGTGTTTTGCAAAAAATAATAAAAGAAAAAATGTTAAGTTCATTAGTGAAAATTATAGTTATTTATATAAATTCCTCTCTTCCTGCAAAAACATTCTAACATGAAGATAGTCAAGCTGTGAATAGTACTGATCATTATTTCATGTTTTGAAACAAAATTATCCTATTCACTTGCATCATAAAATTTTAAAAATAATTGTTAAAGTGAACATGTACTATTATAATCTTCAAACCAAGATTAAATATAAACATACAATGTTCATTTTCATTAGTTTTCTTTCTGCCCAAACCAGTTTATTTTCTAAATGTCAGTTACGAAAATTAAAGTTCATTTCAAAAATTTATTCCTAGAATAAATCCCAGAATAAATATAAATTGGACCTATTCAGTTTAAAAAGTTAGAAAAAAATTACCTAAGAAAAGTGGATCTACATGGTTTTAGTTTAAAAATAAATCATTATATTATTTGGTTACATATTCGAATGCATACTCACATGTGATCTATCAGAAATGTAATTAATTCATCTATATTGGAACTAGAATGGAAAATTTTCACATTATATGTTAACTTCTGTAGAAGCTGAATGCACTGAAAAAAAAAGAATATAATTATGAATACATACAAAAATATGTAAGAATAGAGTATTACAAATATCCTTTTATATTAGTACATTTACAGTACATAATGATTACATTTCATTTACTATGGTGAAATGGTACTCGTACATAACACCTTTTACTTTTTCATCTCCTCCCTTGCTAATCCCTCCCTCCATCTCTTTTTTTTTTTTCCTTTTTTGGTACCGGGGATCGAACTCAGATCCTTGCACTCACTCACAAGGCAGGCTAATTCCCTGGCCCCCTCCTTCCATCTCTTGATCCCCTTTCCATTCACAACAGCTGTTTCAATTTTTAAAATTTTTCTTTAGCCGCTTATCCTTCCTTCCCTCCCGCTTTGTCTCTTGTTCTCATTCCCATTTGAAAAGATCTATTTCCCATTATCTATCTTTTATTTTTTATTTATATTTTGTATTTCTCATATAAGAAAAAACATGTGATATTTAATTTGTGTGTCTGATTTATAACCCGAGCGTATCTCATTTTAGGAGGAAAAGGTTACAAGAATTTTGTCATTTCTCTTTTTTTCCCCCTTTACAAATGCATGCAAGAACCTTAGGGTTCCTATCTCAATTCCACACTTTCTCAAACAGAATATCTCATTGGTATGGTTCTTTTGTGGTTTGTGTCCCTCAATATTCACTGTGATTAATGATTTGATCCCCATAGTGATGTTACTGAGAGGTGGTGAATCCTTTCAGAAGTGCGGCCTGGTGGAATGTCTTTAGGTCATTGGAAACATGAAGTATTTCTCATGTGATATCTCTGATAGTTCTTGTGAGGACGGTATAAAAGAAGCAAGTCTGGCTCTACTCTTTCTCTCTGCTCCTGGTTCAAGCTGTGATCATGCTTCCACCATTGCTCTCTGCTTTGATGTGTGGCTCCAAGTTTAAGGGCCTTTGCAGGAACTGAGCTGATGCAGATGCCATACCCTTAAACCTTCCAAACTGTCACCTAAATAAATCTTTTCTTTTTTAAAGGAACTGCATCAGGTATTTAGTAAGACAAATCTAACATAATCATTAATCCTGTTCACTTATTTGCCTTAAAATTCAATGCAAGTTGAAATATATACATTGTTCGTAAATTAATTTTAAGATACTTTTCTTCACAAGTATCATCTCTAAAACTGCATGTCAGTTTAACTGGTGATACATTTCTTTCTTTCAATTGTTTACTTTTTAGATTCAATGAAATATTATGGCTGTAAGAGCTTTGAATCTATTTTAAATACTATAGCCATAACTTTAATTTTTGCAGAATGTTTCCTCACCAGATACTAGATACCAATTTAAATTATGATTTTAATATGAATATCTTACATTTCAAGTGTAGATGTGTTTAAGTCAAAGCAGCTGTTAATGTAGATATGTTTTTCTTCAATAATGGTGCCAGATATGGGTAAGATTCTCTTCTCTATAAACATTTAAATGTAGTATATTTGTGTCCAACTAATTCTCAATACCAAGGACCCTTGATATTTTCATGCTAATATTTTCACATACATTATAAATTAACAGTTTATAATAGATATTAACAATTTTGACCTGAGACTAAAGAAGGGGGAAGTCGGTAAGTGACAGCATATTGTATAGGTCTATATACCTGCAAAAATACTGAATCACTGTGGCAAGCATTGTTGTGACAAACCACTCCTGCCAGTACACTATTCAAGTTGTATGTATTTTGAAGACAGTCTCTGGTTTCATTGTCCACAGCTGTAAGTCAACATAAAATGATACAAAATACATTATTTTCATATATGGTCTTCATGGATAAAGGAAAATAATTTAGACTTTGTATTATATATTCTTGTCATTAAGGAAATAAAATATGATAGTTGTTTATTGATCAATGCCTTCCAACTCAGAAGTTCAAATGGTTTTGCTATGGAGGAGAATATCAAAGAAAAATTTGCTTTAAATATTTGTAGAAGTTTTCTTATTTAAATATTATCACTTTAACTTTCCTTTTAAAGGTTTAAGAGTAAAATCTATTAATGAACAAATATAACTTTAAAAAATGGGTTATCACTTAAACGTTTTCTGATGTATTTAAAAGGTGAAAGTGAAGGGCATTTTCATATAAAACACTGGCAGATATTAGAAGTAGAGCCTTTTTAGAAAACAATTTAGTACATATAATGGCTATCAACTTTAAAAAAATGACTTGGAAATTTTTCAGGGAATCTGTCCAACAGAAATACACCAATATTTGGCAAAAATTCCATAATAATATTAATTGCACTATGGAGTGTAGTAACAAAAATCTGAAAAAGAACAGAGTCAGCCAGGCTGGGTGCACCTATAATCTCTGCCACTCAGGAGGCCAAGGGGAAAAGGGGGCAAGTTTCAGGCCAGCTTATGCAACATCATGAGATCCTATCAAACAAAAAGAAAACAAAACAAAACAAAAAATCAAAACAAGAAAAACGAACATCATTGTCCACCACTATAATACAGTACTTTGTAATTATAGTGCTAGGTAGCTACTAAAAAGACACCAAATAGGAAGCATCTGGAACTTCTCAATAGCATTTGTATTAAAAATAACCAACTAATGATCTAAAATTATTTGTTGTAACATTAAAAAAAGATCTGGCAAGAAAAAAATTATTAACTATTAAATGAGATTTTACTGCCAAAGGCAGAAATGATGTAAAAGGAAGGTGGTGATAAGTAAATATTTATCCCATTTTACTCTCTAAATCTATGCTCTCTAATTTGGTAGCTATGTTACATGGGACAATTTAAAGTTAAAGATTCGGTTCCTTTAGCTACTACATACAGTTTTAATACTTAAAGGCCCTATGTGACAAATAGCAACTCTACTGAACATAGTTCTGGAACATTTTTATCATTGAAGAAAGTTCTACTGTTCTATTGGAAAATGTACTCTGTGGATCACTAGTTTTTATGCTACACATATCTTAATAATACAAAGAAGACATACCCTAACAACCTAGCCTATACATAATGGTGAAAGGGGATACATGACCGTTAAATAAGGGGAAATAACAGAAGAAGCAACAACAGTATTTTTATCCTTAGTTCTAAATTCATTGTAGTCTATCACAGAAAAATTATTCTTTGATTAGTAGCAATGATTTTGAGTTGTTTTACTAAAGACAGACATCATGTGTGTGTGGGTTTTGTTTTTCAATTCAAAAGTAGCCCATTATTTACCAAAATGCATTCTTCTCTGTAGAACACAAAATTTTTGATATACTTCACATTTCTTGGTTTAAGAAATGTCACACATAATACTGAATAGTTTCTCTGGTGTGAATAAACTGTAATAGTACACAAGATCCTAATGATATAATAGACAATGTGAAATAGGAAGAAAAGGGCTAAAGGTGTAGGGAAAGTGGGAAGGGTAGGGGAAAGTTAATAAGGGAAAAGAAAAAAAAATATGAGAAAATGAAAAAAATGGAAATGAAGTGTTTGTAAAGGGGAGGGGAGGAGGAGTGAAAGGAGGGCAGGGACAAGGGGAAAAAATGAGAACCAAGACCGATCTCAATAATGAATGTAACTGTACTGTATACCTAAATGTACCAATAAACTCAATGAGGAAAAATCAATCAAGCAAGCAAGCTACAGAAAAAAAAAAAATCACATATACATATATTACCCTCCTTCAAGAGATTCACAACACATGTATAACTCTGAAAGTTTCTGCAATGAATAAATCTTTCAAGTATGAACTGTTTTCCAAGAGCATACTGTAACTAATCTGTACTTTAAAAAATATTAAATTCATACATTTTCCAAAAACTGAAAAAGAAAAACTTAATGCATTACCTAGTTGAGACAGCAAATTAATAACCCTTAAGATCAGTGAAGCACTTATGTTTGGGTCTTCAAGCAGCTCTACAAGGCAACTCAGGCATTTACTTGGTAATATCTGATTTGATGTAAACAGTCGTGTGAGCTTTTGTTCAGAAATTACCTGCAAAATGGTAATCAAATATAAATCCCTGTTTTTTCAAAAGCCAGTATAAAATATAAAATCAAATATAAAACCCAGTTTTTTGCCATTTTCTTTCACAGTGTAAAAACTTCACACATGCTATCTCTAATCCCTCCCCCACTACCTAAAGTAATAATTTGAATCTCAGTTTCAATTCATTTCCTCCAGGAAACTTTCCTTAAGCTAACTATACTACCTAAATTAACAACTAGTTTATGGTACATTATGCTTTTATTTCATGGGTTGACAAACTTTTGACTATCTAGCAATATTTATCTTCTACACTATATGGAACATTATAGGAAGTAGACTAAAAATCTGCACATTACCTATATTTACACTTTGTAAATAAATTATAGTTCACTCATTCTACTAACTTTGATGGAAGAAAATGGAAAATGAACCCAAAGGCTAACTATTCAACTGCTCCTTTCTAGAGATAAGAGCTGAGCCCCAATATTAAAAGATTATGGAGAAAGAAAGTTAAAAATATTTAAAGTAGCAAGAATAGGCATTAACGTTTTTAAACTTTTGTTAATTATATTTTTACTCCTTTCTTATAGTTGAGTGACAGAGAAAGTGAAAATATAAAATTGGGATTAAAAGTCAAAACAAGTTGGCAGAGCATAAATTCTCCAAACAATTTATAAATGTATTATTAAGCATCTTTTTCTATAGACACAGTTTTCAGAATTAGACTAAATCTGTCCTAAATATTTGAAAAGAACAGGCATAAGAAGACTTCTTTAGCATCCTTCTTTCTTTTCTGAGTCTTTTATTATCTCACCCCTATCACTCTTTCCATCTAAAGATTTACTGAAAAGTTTCACATTATGTGTTCTTAAAAAACTGTTTAAACATTACTAAAGTAAAAGCTTTTGTACATAAGGAGGAGACTTGAGGGAGGAATAGATAAAATAAAATTGATTAAAAATAAACAAACAAGCAAATAATGGTCTCTTGGAAAGAGGGTAACTAGGTGGTAGAGGGTTAATTATGTGAAGGATGCTACTATGTACTAATAAAGGCTAATAATAATGTAAGTTACAATACCGATAATGATTATTTTAGGGTAGACAACCTTCTGAATGAACATTGCTCTTTCACCTATTAGTAAATACACCCTCCAGAAGATTAAGATGTTTTTGTTTTGAGTGATTCCCCTGAGGACTAGACCTGAATCACAATAAACAAGTAGCTTGATATATAATAATTATTCAATACTGTACAAGGTAAAAATTTGCTTTCTAAATTCTCCCCTTACTCATATACAGTGCATGTTTTAGTGCAAATACAATTTAACAACTAATACTTACACAGTAATTATTCTGGCCTTGGCATTGATTTAGGTATTTTATATATACTGTTTTCTCCTTTATTACTCTATAAGGTAGGTGTTACTAATTTTGCAGATGAGTAAAGGGCACAACTGGGATTCACACCAGGGAGCTCTGTTACTGAATCTATACTTTTAATCACTTAAGTCACAAGATTACTGGTATAAAAAAAAATCATCAAGAAACAGCTCAGTAGGGTCAGGGATTTAGCTCAGTGGTACCACGGCCTACCTTGCAAAAAAAAAAAAAAAAAAAAAAAAAAAAAAAAAAAAAAA